ATCTCCACCATCCTAAAGATCCAGTCCCGAGAGGGGAGGAGGAAAGCCTTCCACACCTGTGCCTCGCACCTCACCGTGGTGGTCCTGTGCTATGGCATGGCCATTGTCACCTACATCCAGCCCCACTCCAGCCCCTCTGTCCTCCAGGAGAAGCTGATCTCTCTCTTCTATGCAGTTCTGACCCCCATGCTGAACCCCATGATCTACAGTCTAAGGAATAAAGAGGTGAAAGGGGCCTGGCGGAAAGCATTAGGACAATTCTCTGGGTTCACATCCAAACTGGTGTCTGGATGACTCAGGAGCCTCATTGAGCATAGAGCTTTGCCTCAGTATTCACCCAGCTGAGGTAATCTGATACTCCACGTTGCCTGGCAACCAGGAAGGAAATGATGTAACAGGCATTGTGTTATGTAGGAGACCCAGTGGTTGTTTTGAGGTGTCCATGTGGGTATGTTATGTGACTACAGCACATTTAGTGGAGCTAAACACAGCTCTTCTAGAATTCCACACTTATGAGTCTCTCTCCAGGTAGCCTGACAATAACTGAAAGAAAAAAAAAGTGCTTTGTTTCCCGTGTCGCAACCAGGAACCTCTTCATGGTTGTCCAGAGAGGGGAGGAGGAACGCCTCCTGTGGGCCACACTTGGTTATGCAGAAACATTTAGGCAAAGTTTATGGTGTTTCTAGAGCAAACTGTGAGTTTTAATTTTGTAAAGTTCACATCAGTGTATGGCATATGTAGCCAGATGTAGTCATTTTCTGTAGATGGGGTGTTGTCAGGGCTGACACCATATCTGCAGCCAGTAGGTCCTTTCACAGGTCCTTTTACAGGACCTCCTAGCTGCAGATATGGTGTCTTTCTAAATGTAAACACACTAAATGTAACCCCTGGAGACGACCAAAAAAGATCTGTTGTACAGACTGGAATATAACTAAGGTTGTTTGTACTTAAAGAACTACTGTTTATGAAAAAGCTTAAAGAAAGAAAGAAAGGAAAAACAAATACACATGTGTATACCCTAGATGGCTTGGATAATTGTACTGCTGATTTCTGCTTGTCTGTTGAAAGGAGCAGTTAATACTTGATTTTTTTCCCTCTCCATTTTGATTTTTTACAAGTTCTTGACCAGTCCTACCTGCTTGTATCTGATAACCTGAACAACTAATTTGAAGGCAAAAATATGCAATATAACAATCATTGTTGAATTCTTATCATTTTATTTAGAGAAATTCTAATCACTGGTAATGTTTTTTTCTCACTAGTTTATTTTTTTATTTTTTATTTTTTATTTTTTGGCAGAACGGGGGATTGAACTCAGATCCTTGCGCTTGCCAGGGAAGCGCTTATTCTACTGAACCGTCTCCCCGGCCCCTCTCACTAGTTTTTTTTTTTTTTTCTCTTTAAAAATAAAAAACAGGGCTGGGGAGATGGCTCAGTGGAATAAACGCTTCCCTGGCAAGCGCAAGGGCCTGAGTTCAATCCCTGGTTCCGCAAAAAATTAAAAAAAATAGAAATAAAAAACATACAAAGGATGTTAAAAAATGTACAGGGGGGAAAAAAAAGAAAAAGAAAAACCTTAACTTCAGGCACTAACTGCCCATATCCAGCAAGTATAAAAGGTATCATTTGAAATGTTAAAATTGTCCAATTTCTGAAAGATTCACCTACTCTTTTTAGAAACTGTATAAACACGTAAGTTATGAGATGATGCTTAAGATGGTAAAGGTATAGCTAGTGTGAGAAGGAAAACTAACCATCAATGCCAATTATTTATTTATTTATTTATTTATTTATTTATTTATTTTTGTGGAACTGGGGATTGAACTCATGCCCTTGCGCTTGCCAGAGAAGCGCTTATTCCACTGAGCCATCTCCCTAATGCCAATTTTCTAAAAGAGAGAGTACAAATTAGATATGAATCAATACCAAATTTTGACATGGACTTAGGATAATCAGCACAGTGAGATTGCCGTGTCTGTGTGGCTTCCGATGCCTGGATCCCTTATCATATCCTCCCCTATGTAATAGGCACTGGGATACACCTGCAAGATTAGTGCTCCGAAGGCTGGCCAAATAGCTCAGCAGATTAAAGTGCCTGCAAGCAGGCACAGGGGCCGGGAGTTCAATTCCCAGGCCTGCCTTTCTGGCCCTGCCCCCAGAGTGCACTGAGATGGCAATTGAGACTGGGTGTGGTGATGCATGCCTGCAATCCCAGCTCTTGGGAGGCTGTAGACAGGTGGATCACTACCTGTCCAATCTAGTAGTGAGACCCTGAACACCCTGTAGATGCTTCCCTAAAATACAAAAAACAAACAAACAAACAAACAAACAAAGCAAAACAAAACAAAAACCCACCAAAAAACAGATTAGTGCTCTGGGCTTGAGGGCAGACCTAATCTCTGAAGAAAAAAACCTAAAGAATATGAGTAGAAACATATCAAGTGAACAGGGGTAAGAAAGTACAGTAAAGAGAAAATATCTATGTAGTTTCTCCCCTAAGCAATTCTGCAAGTCAACAGGCTTGTAGTTCTTAAATTTACCAATATATTAACACAGAATCCTAGGGCTCAAAGCATTGCACACTTAGATAATCTCTTTTGTTTATGTATTTAGTACAGCATCTAGAGGGACTACAGGGTCTCACTACATAGTGATTCTCCTGTTTTCAGCCTCCCAAATGCTAGGATTACAGGCGTGTGCCGCCACACCCAGTCTCAATCCCATCTCAGTGAGCCACGGGGGAGGGGCCCCATGGAACCCTGGGATCAAACCCTGGCCGCTGTATTCTGCATAAACAGGTGCTTTAGTCCACTGAGCTATCTGGCTGGCCCTGCACACTTAGATAATCTGAAGCATATTGATGTTGAGTGTTCCTATTAGAGTAATGAAATTTGAAATTTTGTAAGATAGACAAGCATTTCAAATGATGTCAAGGGTACCTAACTAAATATCTGCTGGTGTTCATTCGAGCCATAGGAATGCACTATCACGTACCAGTGTCCATGAATGGTTTCTTTTGACAAGAACACGCGTGAATCAAAAGAGGGTCAGGTAGTGGAACACTTTATTACACTGTGGTAAGTCTTGAAGAGTAAGTCCACTGAGGTGATGGCAAAAGTCTTCCTGTGAAAGTACACTTAAGTTATGACTAGAACTGTGAGAACCAGTTCTCTAGATGACAAGAAGCCCAACAAAAGAACAACTTGTGTGAAGTTGTTTAGATGCTATTAATCCTAACAAGTCTTCTGGTGGAGTTGTGGGGGTCTTCTATATAAAAATCATCTCATCTGCTAATATAATTTAATCCCTTACTTCCCTATCCATATCAGTTTTCTTTCTTTCTTTTGTTGCATTGCCCTAGTTAATGTTTCAAGAGCTATGTTGAACAGAAGTGGTGATGGCGGACATCCTTGTTCGGTTCCTAATTTTAGAGGAAAAGCTTTCAGAGAGTAAATCCAAAGATTTGCTGACTTTGATTGTAGCGGGGAGAAGAGAGAAGGAGTGGGGACACAGTGGGTGGGTAGAGGTGGACAGTTCTTTATGGGCTTTGATGGCCAATGTTTTTTAAATTTTATTATGCTAGCGATATGGAGCCAGGAAAGAATTTTTATATTAGGAGTACAGCTTGAACATGTTTCTGTTTTGAGTTACCACTTTGATAAGTGAAAAAAAAAAGACATGACCAAGGCATCTAGCAAGCAGATTGCTACAGAATTTGAGACATTAGAGGTACCTCAACTATGGTAGCAGTGAGAGGAAAGATGAAAGTCAAGTCAAGTATTGTTTAAACCAGCTTTCAAGTTGGGTGTGATTGGGGGCTGGGGAGATGGCTCAGTAGAATAAGCATTTGCCTAGCATGTGCAAGGGCCTGAGTTCAATCCCTGGTTCCACCAAAAAAGTGAAAAAGAAAAATTGTTGGGAGTGATGACAGTGGTTATAACCTGGAACTCTCAGATGCTGGGTCATGAAGACTGTTCAAATCCAACTTGGGCAACTTAGAGATTTACTGAGATCCTCTTTCAACTTAAAAAATATGAAAAGAGATGGGGGGAGAGTTCTTTGCAAAAGACATCACTTCAACACCTAGTATGAGAGAGAGAGAGAGAGATTTTAAATAGGAGAGAATTAAAAATCCTATTTGTATCTCATTACTCTTCTGAAATGTTACGATTTTGTCTAAATTTTCTGTAAGTTGTATACCACAAGGCAAATTTGGCCATTATAAACATATATGCACTTATATGGAAAACAAAGCAAAGAGGAAAACCAGCCAAAAATTGAAAAACCATGACATATGTATCACAAAAGAAAAAATATGAAGATGTGATGTCCTTATTGTCATGACTGAGCATATGTCTGTAGGGTTCATTACTTTTCACCACCAACCATTTTTTTTTCTTTTCTGGTATTTTTCTTTTAGGGAAGAGTCTATGGGGTGTTCATGGTCTCACTACCAGATTGGACTTGTAGGGATCCGCCTGTTTTCAGCCTCCCAACAGCTGAGATTTCAGGCATGTGTCACCACACCCAGTCTCAATTGCTGTCTCAGCAACCCCCAGGGGCAGGGCTGGCATGGCAGGCCTGGGCATTGAACCCCTGGCCTGGTGCTTTAATCCCCTGCATTATTTGGCCAGCCTACCAACCATATTTTGATCTGTTTGCCCAGCATCCATTCCTTACTTTGTTTGGGGAACTTTACATGCAGAGTTATCTGAGTATTCACTTCTCAGAAGCAGAAATGCTAAGGGCAGTCATCTATTTATGTGGTGATAGACCTTCATAGTCTCCTATTTCTTCCATTAAACTTTATTTTTATCTTTTTTGTCATTTTAAAAGTGGTAGTTTCTTAGCAAATTTAATTCTGCATAAAAACTCAAGACTAGAGCCATTCTTAATTCTTAGCTGCTGTGAAAGACATTAGCAACAGAGGAAAGAAAGGCATTTTTGATTCAGTGCCATATAAGGTGAAATTCTAAGCAGTACAACTACTAAGTAGACCTTTTCAAAGATATTAGTCATTGAAATGTGTTTTTAAAAATACCTCTTGTTGGGGCCGGGGAGATGGCCCAGTGGAATAAGTGCTTCCCTGGCAAGCACAAGGGCCTGAGTTCAATCCCCGGTTCCACAAAAAACAAACAAACAAACAAACAAACAAACAAACAAACAAACGCTCTTGTTCAGCAGTTTAGTACAATAAAAATATCACTGTGATTTTCTTAAAGGAAAATTAAAAAAAAAAAAAAGGGGGCTGGGGACACAGCTCAGCAGTCTAAGCACCTTCTTGGCAAGCACAAAGACTTAGGTTTGATCACCAGTACCGCATGCTGTACCGGCCCTGCACAGTGCTGGCCACTGAAATAGGGTGTGGTAGCATATGCCTATAATCCCAGCGCTGGGGAGGCTGAGACAGGAGGATCACTACAAGTCTGAGCTGCATAGCGAGGCTCTAGCAAATAAATACATGAATAAATCTTTAAAAAAATTACAATGCAGAGAAAATTACATTTTGTTGCAATAATTTGCATAAGGTATTTTCTACTAAGTCTCTCAAAAAAATCACTTGAAGCTACAGTTTTCTCAATTCCCTTATGTACCATTGAAATTCTCTTTAAAAATAGAACTGAAATGTTTGTCCTACCTGTACAAACTCTATGTTTAAGAGATCCTGTAAGTATAATTTCACATTATTTTGACCCTTTTTCTCCTGTGAGACCTAGAGGTACTATCAGATTTTATTTTTTTGAGACAGGGTCTCACTATACAGTTTAGGCTGACCTTAAACTGACTGCATAGCTGAGCCTGGCCTCAAACTTATAGTAATTCTCCTGGCTCAGCTTCCAAGTTCTGGGATCACAAATGTCTAATTGGCTCGATCAGATTTAAACTTTTTTTTTCTAGAAATACAATTTCATAGATTGTGGCAACACTTCTAGAAACCTGCACAGTGGTTTATTTCTTTAATTTCTCATTCAACTTTGTTTTAATGGGTCTCAAAATTCTATGACAGATTTTTGGTCAGGTTGTTTCCATTAAAAAGTATTGATTTTAAAAACCAATAGCTTAAAACCTCACACACACACACACACACACACACACACACACACACACAGACACAAAATGGTCCACAAAAGATTCTCCTTTCCTTCTGAAGGTTTTATGATGCATTGTTATCATTAACCAGTCTTTTACTATTAAACTTAAATGGCCAATTGGGAGAAACAGTTCTGAGACTGGGCTTCCACTATTGTTTAAGGCTGGGGTGGGCCGGCTTGGCATGTGGTGCCTAGGATCAGTTCGCATTTTGGTCTGAGTAATTCTTTGGTAGGGAGTGGTCCTGGGCATTGTGGGATATTTAGCAATATTCCTGACTTCTACCTTCTAGAAGGCAGTAGATACTGACACCAGTAGGCAGTGCAAGGCTCCTACAAGAGAGCTACTGACTGACTTGAGCCAGTGATTTAATAAGTCCGCAAGATGGTGGAGTCCACCAAGTCTTACTCCTTCCATCTGGAACACATTTACAAATACAGAAACATGCTCTTCACCAATGTTTCATCTTCCTGAAGCATAATTGGGACAGGAAAGGCAAACAATTGATGTCCTCTCCTTTTTTTTTAAACAATTTTTAATACAACAAATGAAGCAGGATCTTTTCACTGTCATCATGAATTCATCGATGTAAGTTTACCTGATCCATCTTAATCTATTGCTCTTATTATCCTCATTGATTCTCAACTTACCCTGTGTTTAGTGAATGATGCCCTTGTTTCCTATTAGTGCTGTGAGAAAGTAATACAGATTTTGCCACAGTATAAAAACACTCCCTTACAGTTCTGAGTGTCAAAATGAACTGTCCAAAATGAAGGTGTCTACAGGACTGTACTTACTTCTTCAGGCTTTAGGGAGCAAACTACTACTGGCTTGTTCCCTCTTTCCTCAGGTGTCTCCATATAGTGGTCCATGACCTCTCTTTCCATTTTCAATGCCAACAGCAGGGTGAGCTTTTCTCTGACTGCCCTCTTGCATTCATTAACACATCTCTTTCCTCTGACTCTGATCACAAGGACGGTTGTTGAATTACAAGGACAGCAGGATCACCCACCCTGTCCAGTCCAATCTCAGCATTTTAACCACCTTTTATTTGAGCATCGCCAAGTCCCTTTTATCACGTCAGGCAGCATATTCACAGTGGATTAGGACATAAACATCTTTATAGGTCATTACTATGTGTGCCACAGCCTATTTAATCTGGCTGCTCAGGTTTTTTGGAGCATACAACCCTAGATGATCAGTGGTAACACTTCAACAGTGGTCTCACCTCACTTCTTAGCATTGTACAATGTCCTGTCTTTTATACTCTCTGACATATTATTGGAATGATTTCTATAAGAGCATCTGGTTCCTCTGCAGTAGAAGATGGCATTTAGTGGCCGCAGTCTGATCACATTATTCAGCTGGAGGTGTAGGGTTGGCACTGTTACTGGAGAGATGGACAGGCAGAAATGGTATCGCCTGAGTTAGTCTTGGGTGGATGGAGTCAAATGTGTTGAATCACTAGGTGGTCTTCAGTGTTACCGTCAGGGACACTGCTGGGCTTAGGCAGTGTGCTTGTCTGACACATAACATACGTGAGGATCTTTGTCCATTGCAAACTGACAGCCTCTTTTCCTGTGGAAAATTTACCTTTAGCAACAACACAGGGCACAGAAATTAAGCCAATTTTTTTTCTAATCATATGTATCATTAGTTCACCTCAAGTATTATCCTTTTATATACAGTCAGAGCATTGGAATGACCTTTAAATTGATACTTATCTTGGCTTCAGACTTCCTTTCCCTTTAAGATGTCTTCCTGAAAATTTTTCCACCTAGGAGGAATATTTCCTTCATTGTTCTTCGGGGCTCAACCCTTTCAGTCATAGGGTACTAGAGATCCCCAAGAGGCCATGAATGTAGGTCTTAGGCACAGCTGTCAGACAATGGGAACAGACAGGATGGATGATGCCACTTTCAGCCACCTGTTGATGTCACTTTCTTGTGTTCTCAGGGGATGGGTTTTTAGGTCTAATCTCAGATACAATGCTTTATGTTTTGGTGCTTCAAAGGAGATATTTTTGAGACATGGAGTGAGGAAAGGGGAGGTGGAGGAGGCAGAGATGAGTGGGAGTGGGATGGTCAGACAGAGCAGACAGCCGGTGCTTGGCCACACAGAGCTGGCCCAGCTAGCTCTCCCACGACTGGCACAGGAGAAGAGGCTGCAGCTCCTTGTCTGTATCCCAAAGAGCCTGAGTCCAGATGGGGCTGGTAGCCAGGGCCCACGAGCAGATCCCTCTGAGGGCTGGCCCTTGGGAAAGTGCCTTCAGTGCATGACCAGGTAGGCCACCATGCCTAAGAACTCCACATCCACTGCTGCAGCCAAGCCCAAGCAGGCCAAGGCCTCCAAAAGTCTATAGACCACCCCAAGTTTTAGGACATGATCATAACTGCCATCCAGGCCAAGAACAACTGTGCTGGCTCCTTGTGCCAGTCCATCCAGAAGTACATCAGGAGCCACTACAAGGTGGGTGAGAATGCCGACACCCAGATCAAGTTGTCCATCAAGCGACTGGTGACCACCAGGGTTCTCAAGCAAACCAGAAGGGTGGGTGACTCTGGGTCCTTCCAGTTGGCCAAGAGTGATGAGCCTGAGAGGACAGTGGCCTTCAAGAAGACCAAGAAGGAAGTCAAGAAGGTGGCCATGCCGAAGAAGGCAGCCAAGCCCAAGAAGGCTGCCTCCAAAGCCCTAAGCAAGAAACCTAAAGCCACCCTTGTCAAGAAGGCCAAGAAGAAGTCAGCTGCCACACCCAAGAAAGCCAAAAAAAGCCCAAGGTTTTCAAGGCCAAGCCAGTCAAGGCATCCAAGCCCAAGAAGGCCAAACCAGTGAAGCCCAAAGCCAAGTCCAGTGCCAAGATGGCCGGTAAGAAGAAGTGATGAGGAAGCCTTTTCTTATGGCCCTTCCTCTCTCACTCTCCGTAAATACTATTTTCCTTTCATCCTTCTTGATTCTCTGCAACCTTTTATCCCATTCTGATGATAAGATACAGACTTTGGATTACCAGGAAATTGTGGATAATTCCTTTTTCTTCACCAGTTGTGCAAGGACTGCAACAACAAATCTCATCTCTGTAATGATGACTTATATTTCATTTGATTGATCCGCTATTAGTCTTACAGGGTTCAGGTTTGGATGGGCTGTGTTGGGGAGTGTTTCTATGAAGGTAGATGGGGAAGGAGAGAATAGGCTCAGCAGTTTTCCTCCTAGAGGAGAGAGAGTCTGGGAACTAAGTGTACAGATCTGTAGGAGTGTCTTTAAGGTTTTCTTTAAGTTGGGAACCCCTGTGAGAATTTTACAACCTTTGTGAGGGGAGGAGAGCAGCAGGCTAGGTCCTTCTCTCTTGGGTCAGTGGGCTTTTATGGCCTCCCTAGTGCCTTAGGGAAAAGGAGGGGGACAAGTTACAGCTGCTTGGAGAAACTAGCTTCTCCTAGTTAGCTAGGAGCCAGCCATGGGACACGGGTGGGGAGAACACCTGTGGAGTCAGTGAAGTTTCTTAATAGGAGTGAAAACTTTTTTTTAATTAATTTTTTTGAGAAACAAATAGCAATGAGACAGTTTCAGTGGAAAGTTTGGGGGAAGGATGGGGAATCAATCCACTGAGTGCCTCCACGTGCCCTGTTGAAACTTGATTTTTTTTTTTCCAAACAACTTAATGGATTCTTGTGTCTTTGGAGGACTTTCTTTTTCTCTCTCTGTTTTGTTCCTTCTCTAAAGATGTGGCTTTGCTTGGTCTGGTGGGCTCCAGCCCTACCACCAGATCCTTAAAAACCTCCAGACCTCTTTTTTTCTTTTGAGTTTTTTTTAAGTAGATGTAGAGCCAGAGGGGGAGGGGCAGGGAGTGGACGGTAAGACATGCTGCAGTGGATTTGGAATTTGCTATGTAGTTATAGGACTAGATCCATGTGCATGTGTCTGTGTTTGTATACATGCATACCTAAGGCTACTACTTAGGCTTTATGTCAGGAGCTGGGAGAAAAAATCTGTACTGTTGTCTTTTTAAAATGTATTTAATACAGGATCTACAGGGTCTCACAACCCAGATCGGACTCAGTGATCCTCCTGTTTTCAGCCTCCCAAGCGCTGCAATTACAGGAGCACACCACCATGCCCAGACCCATTCACCATCTCAGCATGCTTCTGGGTTCCTGCATCTGCTTAAGCAGGCACTTCAGTCTGCTGAGCTATGTGTCTAGCCCTTGTCTTTTATTTTTAATGTGATAAGTCATACACTTGCTCCCCACCACCTCCTGTTCCTCTTTTAAAAGCTGTATTAGTGCCAGGAGAAACTTGATGACCTTTAAAACTTTAAAATAAAATCTGGAAAGAAAAGTAGATATTTCCAAGTACATAGTGACCTGATGTCCCAGGCATTCAGTTATTACATGTACTCACAAGTAAGTCAGATGCTCTTTCTGAAAAGCACAATGGCAATGCCTTTGAAGTCATGGTGACCCTCCCAAATCCTACGGACCAGCACTTTGATTTTCATGTTGGGACTACCTACTGATTCTGTTGAGGATCCCAACATGACTTAGGGTCTTTAAGTATCAACAGCTAAGAAGTTAAGTGTGTCACAGCAGAATTGGTTGTACTGTGGGTGCCTCTGGAGAGCATTCTTTTGGATGCTGACATCTACAAGTGACATGAGAGATGCGTTTGCTCATGGTAAACCTCAAAGTGGATAGATGTGGAAGGCACTGAGTTTGAAACACAGCTGAAGATAAACTGGGAGACTGCATATGCATCATCGAAATAAAAACTTTGGAAGCTGGAGTGCCCTGACATTAGATCTTGTTGGCACAGTTCACTGATAGACAAATTCCTCCTTCCTTATATGGTGTGATATCGAGGCAATGAACACTAAATTTTCTCTCTTGGATCAGTGTCTTAGAATGAATTTCCATGGAACATATCTTATCCTCCACCTGCATCTCATCTTGTTTTTTGAACTAATTAATTTTTTAATAGTTTTATCGAGAAACAAATAGCAATGAGACAGTTTCAAGACCAATTAGTAGCATAGTTTCAATAATTAATACATTGCATATTGTTGTCTTCTCAGTGGTTATTCATAGTAGAAGATGCAGACATGATATCCTGTTCAAACACTATTAGAACAAAAATTTCTATTCATTGAATTAAGAGAAAATAACTTTATATCTATCCTATCTTGAATATACAGATACAAAATGATTCTTCATCTATATCTCCTTTTTTGTTTAGTTTTGTCAGAGATGGGTATTCCATTGCCATTTAAATACTGTAGGTGCATGAATTTAGCAAAATAATCCAATATAGTCCAGTAGTCCATAATAGTAGTGGGTTTTCTGTAGGATTGGCCATGTCAGAAGATGTTGACTTGACCCTTTTATAGCTCAGCATAGTAATATGGCTTTACTTTTGTACTTCTTTTTTATACTTTTCTGCTGGATGGTTAAGACCAAGATAAAGCAAGACCTGTATAACAAGAAATGTAACTTTTGTATCTGACAGGTTAGTCAAATCCCCTCAAGATTTACCCTGAAACCCTTTACCACAGATTGTAGATCCTTTGTCAGTGTCAGCCATGTGGATGAGTCACTGCCATTGCTTGACAAATTTGCCCTCTGTGAAAATCTGAGAGAACATTTTCTCTCCAGGTGACTCTCCTTAGGCACACTCTACATCATCAATCACTTTCATCTGTGGCTCCATAATCTCCTTGATCAGAAAATTTGGGACACAACTGAGTTACGTCAGGATGTTACAGTACAGGTTCTCCTATGTCCTGATGGACTAATTAATTTTGGAGGAAGAGCAAATGAAGTGAGCTGGACACTGGATTTCTGATCTAGATCAATCTCTGTGGCCTGATGTGGTGAAGCTGTGGCACGGTCCTCTAAGAGCTGGGCTAGGTCGGGGCCACTAGGGCTGGATGGGAGCAGACAGTGTCTCCCTACAGGATCTTGCTTGCTTAGTAGGGAGGTTAGTAAAGAAAAAGTGCAGGGACTTTCAAGGAAGGGGTGACTCTGTGTCCCAGGGTGAACTTGAGACTCCTGGCCCAGAGTGCTGAGTAGCTGCTGGGGAAAGGCTGGTATCCAAGTCCCTGATCAGATAAGAGCTACCCAAGGAAGAACCTGTGCGACCTGTATTGTACTATTATGACCCATGAGGAAATGTAATTTTATTCTGATAAGCCACCAAGATGTTGAGTTTGTTTATTTTAGCAAGGAGCCCACTTTGAGTAATAGAATGAGATTATTAATTAACACACTCATTTCACAAATACACTTTGTCCCTTTAATTAACATTGTAGTACTTAAAAAAAGTGATTGTCATTAAGCAGCTCACGACATAATATTTGAGGTATTATAAATGCATTCAAGCTTGCTTAGTTTCTTTTAAAAATTAAAAAATCTATTTATTTATTTATTTGGTACAGGGTCTAGCTACAGAGCTTGGACTCATAGTGATCCTCCTGCCTCAGCCTCCCCAATGCTGGGATTACAGGCATGTGCCACCACTCCCAGTTTCAGTGGCTGGCACAGTGCACCTGGGGTTCCAGGCCCAGCATAACGTACAGTACAGGGATTGAACCTAGGTACTTGTGCTTGCCAGGAAGGCAGTTAGACTGCTGAACTATCTCCCCAGGCCTTGTTTAGTTTTTTAAGTTTTACTGTCAGTTGAAAGTACTCAGAAAGGGATGTTTGTAAGCTTTTTCATCTTTATCAAAAATTATGAGATGATGTTGAGCCAACACTTCTTTCCTAACTCTTCTGACTTTATATATACCAATGTTAATAAATAATGTGTTTTGATATTAACAAAATATACAAATATTAATAATTTTTTGCCAGCTCAGCCCATCCTGAGGGCTGAGCTGGCATAGCATGTGGTGCAAGGGATCAAACCACAGTTCCTTGTGCTTGCCTAAGCTTGCCTAAGCAGGCACTTTAGGCCTCTGTCTGGGCCAATAAATAATATTTATTACCAAATATGAAAAGTTAATGCATTTTTTATTAATGTATTACTTATATAAAGCAAAATCCATACTTTTTGCACAATTCTTGTTTTTTAATATATATATTAGGTGAAGGGTCTTCAGGGTATTCAGGGGCTCACTACGAGATCAGATTCATAGTGATCTGCCTGTTTACAGTCTCCCAAGGGCTGGGATTACAGGCGCACACCACCATGCTCAGTCTCAACTGCATCTCAATGTGGACCGGGGGAGGGGGAGGGGGCAGGGCTGGCACAGCAGGGCAGGGGATCGAACCCCCAACCCCTGCACCTGCTTGTAGGCACTTTAATCTGCTGAGCTATTTGTCAGGCACAGTTCTTGTTTTGAAAATTTTTATTCTGCAATTTTGTGTTGCATTCGCATATCCTCCTGCCCCCTCCTACCACCAGGAGTCTCCCTCCCTACCCATATCAATCACCAGTGTGATGTACTTTTAATTACTTGATTTTAAATGGACAAAGTATAAGGGGACACGTGTACTCATGTTCATCTAAGTAAACTACTAACGACACATAATGCTTTTTACTCTAAGGAATTATAAGCCAAACAGACTACTGCTCTGGAAGTAGCTTGGGCAAAGTACATGGATAATTCTTAGGAGAAAGGGATTTGCTATACTTGGGCTACATTCGCAAGTTCATGGACATGAATCGAAATTAAATATTAGTGCGGCTGTCACAGGGGCTTCTGGAAGGAATTAATTCAATTTCTACACAGACATTTTTTCTTACAAGACCTTTCTGTGCAGAAGAGAGAACACTTCCGCTTTGTAGACCAACAAGAACTTTAAAGTGAATGGGTGTCTGATAAGGCCGGGAAACAGGGAAATAGTTGTATTGTGCTTGATTAGGGGTGCTTTTCATGCAATTGAGATGTGGTGTTATACTCATTG